TTTCTATACCAGAATTGTACTGCCCTCAACCACAAGCAGAATCTACATATTGACTTTTCACAACAGTGAGATGTTCACACAGGATTTGGATTTCTGAGTACTGCAGGAATGCAAAGAAGCAGCAACAACAGCTCAGGTTGATACAAGTCAGCATGGCTACACAGGCTGCAGCAACTCGACTGATCTAGGGCAATGCAGGGGAATGGGAAATGGGGGCTGTGGCCAGTTCATAACACTTCATCACTGCTGCTCCCTCCTGGTCTCTCTGCCTCTCCTTCATGCAAGTCCTTGCCATGGGATGCCATCCATCCTTCCCCACCTGATCCTACATGAGCTTCCCACAGGCTGCAGCTCTCCAAGAACTGTTCCACCACAGGGCTCACCCTTCACACGCTGTTCTGTGTGGTGCCTGAGGGCTGTAAGGGACAGCCTGTTCCACAATAGGCCTCTCCTGGGCCTCAGGGAACTGCTGCACTGCACCTGGAGCACCTCCTGCCCTCCTTCTGTGCTGACCTTGGGGGCTGCAGGGCTGTTTCTCTCCAATTTCTAACACCCCTCTCCCAGATGCAGTTGCATAGCACTGTTTCTCTCCCTTCAATGCTCTCCTAGAGGCACATCCAGCATCACGGATCAGCTCTGCCCAGTGGTTGGTCCCTGTTGAAGCAGCTAGAGCTGTTCTGCCCCGACATGGGGCAGTGCTGAGTTCTGCTCAGAGAGTCCACTCCTGGAGCTCCCATGCTACCAAAACCTTGCCACATAAACCTAATACAGCTTCCAACAGCATTACACCAGACACTGACAAAGAAGAAAGTCAAAAGAGTGTCACTAATACCAACCAGAGCATCACAGGCTATCTGTCCACTGTCCACACTCCATCTACATAAATGAAATTTGGTAAGATTTATCTAAGTCTCATGTAACTAAATTAATCATAAAGAAGAGTGATCTATCCTACCATAAGGCTCCCTTTGCCCCCCCTCGTGTATTTATTCCAGAGTAATCTCATTTGCTGGAAATTCACTTGTCTAGCTGTAAAATAGACAGATCAGTACTCAAGAAGGAAGAAAGCTTTCCATAAAGTATGGTTCTGTGAATTCTTTCATATGAGGAATATATACTCTGTTTTGTTGTTAATGACAATTCTGCACTGGCATTATTCTGGCACTCTGCACTGAGATAAAATCTCAGTGTATTTCCAAAACACAATTTAGTTCATAAGCTCCAGTGAGTTCAAATCTGAGTGGAATGCACAAGCCCTTCCCTGTGGGTTTTCAGAGGAGCTTAAGCTGCTCTGGAGAGCTGCTAGTTTTAAACAACCTGTCTGCAAAGTAGCTTGGGCAGATGAAATGAAATTCTGTCAGATGCTTGATAGCAAAATGCTGAAGCACAGTAGCCCACTTAGCAGCCAGTAACGGTGCAGCTGCCTTTGCAACACAAGATAGAGTCAAAGCAAGACTTGTCCTGAGCTGTGATTGGGAACAGGGACTGACACTGAAAATCTCATGTTCCTAAATATGTGCAATAGCAACCAGTGCTGATTTGACTAGAGGACAAGACAATAGCAAGTGTCTTCTAGACTATTACCTTTGCCTCCCAAGCTGTGTCTTGCACACTGGTGTTGTTCCAGCAGCACGGCAAGGGAGATACCGGAGCCGGTTCCTCTTGCAGCACAGCTCCTAGCAATACTCTCGCCCCGTGAGGTGGTTTGGGAAGAGCGTGCAGCCCCATCGGCAGCCCGTCTGGCTGTAGGTTGCTGCCCTCCTATGGCAAGATGCGACAGCTTCGCTTATCTCCAGAGCAGCTATGCATTACTAAACAGAACTGAGTTCAGTTACCAGTACCTGCTGTGAGAAATTACAGCTTCCAAATGCACAATTTGCAGGTTCACGGTCCACCTGAAGTAGAAAAGTGGACTCAGCAGAAACAACTCAGCCTTTCTGTCCTGAGAGGAATCCCTCTGCAGCTGGAAAGCACTGCTTGCTTTCCAGTGGCTGCCAGCCTGAGCCTTGGCGTGACACTGGTAGTGCTGAGCAGTGATATCCCAACTGAGAGGTCATAGATTCGGGGCTCCTCTCATTTAGTGACAACTTTTTGTTGCTATTGTTTTTCTTTCTCACATCTATACTCAGCAGCACAGAGCTGTTGACTTGGAAACTCGGTGTCTTAAATCAGTCTGGGCTTGTTTGCGTATTTCTGCTGAATCTTTATCTGTTACCATGGCAGAACTGCAGAGTTAAACCTCAGCACAGGTAGCACATGCTTGATTTCCTCCTCCAGCGAGTTCCTTGGCTGTTTGCCTTCTTTATTACCCTGCTTTCGACAGGTGCCACTGGTAGCAATGCTGCCTACTCCAACTGTCCCACAGACATCTTATTTCCATCTTCATTCTCATCCTAGAAGTCCTGGGAATGAAAGTCACACACTGAAAGTGGAGACACCTCTGAATACATGAAGATTCTGCCATCTGGCTCTAAAGAAAGAAACAAGGCAGGATCAAACAGTCCACTGAAACGAGCCTTTCACTGAGCGGAGACAAACAGCTCATGAAGCCAACTTAACAGCAGAAGGGACCTCCGAGCGGCTGGAAACCAAGAGGTCATTCATTTAAACGGCTTATTTATAACCAGAGAGATTTTTCTACCCTGACAGCCTAAATGCATATGTGCACTGCACCATAACATCTGCGAGGGCATCAGGCTTCTGAAAAAGCACAGGAGAGTTCAGACATCCCAGAGTTGCTGATGGCTATTGAAAAATATGTCTTTTTTTTTATCCAACTTATATCATGGTTCTCAAAGTTCACTATTTCAGATAGAACCTGTTATTCAAAGTACCATAAGCAATCTTCTTTTTTGGTCAGCATATTTATTTTAAGATGCACTTTCAGCATTCTTGGGCTTCTACAGTAAAACAGATGTCTGAGAGCATCTAAAGCACTTTGCTGTGCCTAGTATAAACTGAAAGAGAAGAATTGCATTTTGCAAATATACTCTGAGGCTGTGAAATCTGGATTTTGCTCTCGTAGGGAATATCATAAGAACAGGCTGCAACTTGAAAGCTTCAGAGTTCAAATGCACAAGGATCCTGAGTTGCAGTTTCATATTTCAGAAGAAACGGAGCTATGTCTTGTTTTTCATGTGAAGCTGGGGATGTTTGGACATATGCAGAGCCTGGATTACAGAAGCTGGCTGTGGCAGTGGTCTGAGGCTAGATTCAGTGCAGGTTAGAGAGCAGGGAACACCAGGCTAAGCTGAAGGCTGGACGAGATATGGGACCCTGCCAACCCCTACAATTCCGTGTTTCTGTGAAATCAGAAGCAGTTCATATCATCCAAATGCAGCTGGGAGAAAACAAGGGCCCCTCAACTTCTGCACAGACCTCTCCATCACAAGTCTTCACTCTGCGCATAGGCACTGAAGTCCATGTCTAAGAGACATTCTAGGCTGTTTTCTTTTCCCAGAGTCTGTCTTGTGATTGTGTGTGAAGTCAATATTCCGCTTTCATGTCACTACATCCTGCATTTTTGGTAGATGGAAATGCAGCCTGCAGAGCTGATCTTGGCCTGCTAACACTTCTTGTGCGGATGTTTCATGTCTGGATGTATACAAGTTTGAACTGCTCTGAATTCTGTTGTAAACAGCCCGCCTCTCCTCTAAGCTCTGCCAGTTATTCTGGGCTGAAGGAAGGCAATATGCAGACAACACCAAACTGTGTGGTGCAATCAACATGCCTAAGGGACAGGATGCCATTCAGAGAGATCTACACAGGCTTCAGCAGTGGGTGCAGGACAATCTCGTGAGGTTTAATGAAGCTAAGTGCAAGGTCTCACAACCCCCACTATCAGTACACACTGATACAGCCCTGCCAAAAAGACCTCGGGGGTACTGGAGGATGGGAAACTGGACATGAGCCATTCAAGATCAAGCTGGATGGGGCTCTGAGCCCTGATGGAGCTGTAAGTGTCCCTGTTCCTTGCAGGGGAGTTGGACTAGATGATCTTTGAGGGTCTCTTCCAGCTTAAATGATTCTGTGAATAGAAATGTTCTTATAGGAAAGGTCTTTGATAATCTCTCCTATATGCACTCATTTCTGCTTGGCTTGGTAAAAGGCCTGCCTCACTGAAAATTCTGCGTAAGTGCTCTCTGGGGCACACTGGAAGCACTGACCGGCACACCTTCCCAGATTCCCACACACGCCTCTACGATGCTCCCTCAGACTGACAGCACACACAGTGCTGTCCAGGAGGCCTCAAGGCTCTTCTCCATGCCTTACAAAGATACAGACACAGCATCGTTGTGAGCCACTTCAGCTTCAGAAGGACTTCACCGGCGCACACAGCTCAGCAGCAAGGTGAGCTGTCTGTTATTCTGATCTGCACAGTGACACACAGAATGCTTTTCCAGTTCTGGGCTGTGTCAGAGCATTGCTTGCATCTGTGCCCTGTAACATGGGCACCTCTGAATATCCCTTCTCCATATATTTCACAACCAAGGGTGATGGCTGGCGTTTTTTCTTTTCCGAGCCCTTCTCCATCCAGTGTGCTGTGTGTGTGCTGTGTGTGTGCTGTAACTTTGGATGCTCATCCTGGTACTCAACAGACCAACACTGCTGGCCGGCCCTCATGCCAGAAACCAGGCTGGGAAGGGGTACAGCAGTCCCGACCCCACTCAGAGCGAGTTGCTGCAACTGACAGCAAACTTCAGCCTCTTGAGCATCTGTGATGCAGTTGCTGCCGCTAATTAGAACTTCTAAACAAGGAGGAAAGGCCCAGCAGCAGTACTTCGGGTGGTGCCTCCACCGGGGCAATATAGCGGCCGGAGCGCTTTTCTGTGACAGCGAGAAGCCGCCGCGTGCGCATGCGCGGCCCTCTCTGCCTACGCGGCGCCACTGCCCACAGGTCGCGCCTCTCCCCACCACCGTGAACTACACTTCCCAGCATCCTCCGCGAGCCCGACCGGAAGAGCGTTCCGGCGGCGGTTGCGTAGTGGGTGAGGCGGGCTGGTAAGACCGGAAGTGAGGTGGTCGCGCCGCGCTGAGGAAATGAGGGGTGGCGGGCACGGCGCCTCTCTCTTCGGGCGGGTCGGTCGCGCCTGGCCGGGCCCGTTCTCCGCCTGGGTCCCGCAGCCGCCTCGGGCGCTGCCGTCTCCGCTTCCTCGGAGAGGTGAGAGGCGTCGGAGGGCCCTGTTTGTCCTGCTGCGAGCAAGACTAGATATAGTCTCCTTGTTTAAGCGATAAGGAGTTTCCAAACAGCAGGCTAAGGGAGAGAGCAGCAGGAGTGAGGTGCTGAACGGCTGCTTCTTGCCCTGCAAGCTTTGTTACGATGAAAGAGATAAAGTTACCGATGATAAACCATTCACGTTAAGCTTAAAGCACGTGTTGTCACTTCCAGGTCTTGCTGCCACACTCCCTAGGAATTCGTATGACGTGAGAAGAGTTGAAATCACTCCCCTGGAGCAGAGGAAGGTAACTTTTGACACTCATGCCTTAGTGCGGGATCTGGAAACCCAAGGTAAGTCATAACTGTTGAATAGTCATAGAATCACAGAATGGTCTGGGTTGAAAAGGACCACATTGATCATCTAGTTTCAACCCCCTGCTGTGCGCAGGGTCACCAGCCACCAGCCCAGGCTGCCCGGAGCCACATCCAGCCTGGCCTTGAATGCCTCCAGGGATGGGGCATCCACAGCCTCCGTGGGCAACCTGTTCCAGTGTGTCACCACCCTCTGTGAGAAAAACTTCCTCCTGATATCTAACCTGAATCTCCCCTGTCTCAGTTTAAAACCATTCCCCCTTGTCCTATCGCTATCCACCCTCGTAAATAATCCAAAGGAAATCTTTACTGTGAGTGTGAGTGTGATCAATTATCCTCATAACAGTACTTTCCTATGTTTTGGAAGCCTCTAGCAGAGGCTGGTGAAGGAGAAGCAAGTGGTCTGTAACCATACAGGCTGTTACAGTAGATTTGCCTCATTTGTAGCTGTTGGTTTAGTTTATATAGCATCTTCCCTGCATTTAACGTTCTTTCTTAAGCTAATGTAGTCCCTGAGCTACTGTGGATTGGTCAGTTAGTACCAAAACCATCCTCTGTTAAGGAGTTTTGAAAGTCTACTGATTGTGTAGAATATTTGTATACACGGAACCTGACTTCAGATGCCCCCTCAGTTCTTTTGTGGGACGAAGGAATGAACATTCGATCTCTCATGTCACTTAACATTATGTAAACCTTTGTTGTATTCCTCTATCATTCCTTCTCAAACAGTTGAGTTCTGGCTCAGTGAATTTTGCCAAGCTATTGTTTGACAGTGAATGTCCCACGGATTTGAATAGTGACATGATGTTGGATCTATTTTGTTCTCTGCTTTTTTTTTTTTAAAGTAATTCCTAAAGTTTGGTTTGCTGTACTGATCCCTTCCAAATAGAGCTGATATCCGGTATCAGTTCTCTGTTAGAATTCCAAGATCTCTATCCTAAGTGGCAGCTGGAATTTTATCCAGTCAAGGCTAGGACCTTTTCCCCTGTGAAGTCCTAATAGTTTAAGTACACAGAAGACAGCCAGTAGTCCACTAATAAGGCTTTTTTGTTGTTGTTGCTTCTTTGAGTTTTAATGCCTGTCTTGTCAGCATGTAGTTCTCTGCATATCTTGTGGAACTATTTCTAAAAACTGGTGTTGTATTTGCCACTTTCCTTTCCTCAGGCAGCCAAGACAGCTTGTTATGTGTTTCTTGTCCCACGTACTCATTCAGCTGTTTCTCCTTGGAGGTCCTTTAGAACTCAAGATGAAGTCTGATGCTGGTGCGGTTGTTACTGAGTTTGTTAATTTGTTCTGTAACTGCCTCAAACACGTCAGCATCACAGTGACAGGGCTCTGAAGGTAAAACCTGAACATACCACCAAACTGAGAGATGCTTTTCAAATCTGTCAAACTTGCTGCAGGCAGTTTTCAGTCTCAGGTCTCTTACATATATGGATTTCTCCATGTTTTCTAAACTTCCACGTAGGAAGGACGGTTCCTAATGAATGAAACAGCACAAGCCCAAGTAACCCTGAAAACGCAGGGAAACTGAAGCAATACAATTACACTTCGGTGGAAGGAAACTCATACATTTTGCATAGTTTTTCTCGTAATGCAGTCTTGCAAGGCTTGATAATTGCAATAATTCAGAAGGGATCGGCGTCGTATTTCTCTAAATAGCTTAATTTGAAAGCAGTTTTCAATGAAAAGTTAATTGATGCCAATTTATGAAATGGAGCAGTTGAAGCATAACACATCAGTGTAATTGCTGAAAATAAACCTTTAGCACAGAATCAGGTTTGGCCAATTTGACAGCTGATTCTTCAGTTCTCTCCCTTTAAATGCTCCAGAATTGCACCAAGCTACCAACAAAGTGCAGTTTTTATCTTCAGCGAGCAAAAATCATGCAGTCTGAATTCATTCTGCAAGCAATGGATGCAGCAGTCTTTAAATCAGTTTTGCATGTGCTTATATCTCTAGAAAAATTTCCATATGTGCAGACTTGTCTTTCAGTTTTATTATTCTATAGGATGCATGCCTGGTAGCTCAAGTTAACTTAGATTTTTATTAGAATTAGCAGAAGTTCATTCCAAAGCAAAATGTTGCTGAATTATTTTTAGAATGCATGAGGAGATACACGTACAGAAGTCAGGTACTGCCATCAGCTGCACGCATCAGCTATCTCAGTGTATGGAAAGCTGATGTCCTTCAGATTCGCGCAGCTTTAAATCTGCTGGCTTTTGCCTACTCTCCCCTGCTCCTTACTGCCAGTTCTCAGTAACTGTGCGACTTCCCACTTGCTGCTTTAGTTAGGAGCAGCACTGTAGTGTCCCATTTGTTAATCACCTCTTGCTTTTCCCTTCACCCAACTCTCTGACATTGCCCAAACTTCTCATCCTTCAACTGCTTTTCAGGCTTTGCCAAAGAACAAGCAGAGACCATCGTGTCAGCATTAATAACCCTCTCAAATGTCAGCTTGGAGACAGTCTATAAGGACATGGTTACCCAGGCTCAGCAGGTAACATTTGTTTATGGTATGTATACACACAGAGTTGTATAAACACAGTAGCACATGTTTGTGTATCTAAAAGACAAGAGAGCGACTCTCCATAATGCCACCAATTCCTTTCTGAGATGGGTTTCTCTGGGTCTCAGGGTGATACTGAGAATGTAAATTTCTCCCAGAAGTTTCTCACTTTTGGAGGTGGCCATGTGGTACAGAAGTAATACAGAGACTGCTCTGTTAGAGCTCTGAGACCTTCAAACTGTGCTTTTTGCAGCAGTTGAGAGCAGAAGAGAAATGCAAGGAAAGCAATTGTCCTATTTCTCTATTCATAAACTGAAAGCAATCACTGGAACTGCGTCACGATTTTACTCCTGCATTTTGGTCTGTAAAGTTACATCTGCTGTAACAGCAGAAGGTGGCTGGGATGTGAGCTTAGGCACCACCACGTGGTTATGCAGCGTTAAACAGCTACTGCAGCCCTCAGCAACTATCACTGTCCTTGCCCAGGCCTGACTTAGGTGAAAGGTTAGGCCCAGGAGCCGTTCCCACAGAGCACAGTGGATGGAGGAAGAGATTTTAACCATCTGGCTGTTACCTGTGGCGTGTCGCTTGCCCTCAGGGACAGCAGGCAGGCTGTGACTTGCTTGGTGGCTGTCTACACCTGGCTGTTTGCTCTGGACTGCTCAGTAGCTCAGCCTGTGCTCAAGCAAAGTGTCCAATTGTCTCCTTCATTTAGAGTCAGGTGTGTGATTGTACCTGAAGGCAGTGAATCTGTTCAGTAGTGTGGCTCTTCCTTCTGAGCTGCTGACAAGTTCTGTTTTAACGCACTGCCAAAAGAAAAAGAACTTTAGCTTCTTCCTGTAGGCGTCTCAGCCAGCATCAAAAAGCTCTGGTGCACAGTAATGGTTTTAATAATTAGTCAGGAAGGCAGTGCAAGCTGAAATTACGTGCCATTCTTCTTCAGTGAGTTAATGCAATTAAGTGTTCACTGCTGTTTTATTTAAACTGTGGGCTTCTACTTCCACAGATTTTTCCTTACTGGCATTTATGCTTAATGGAATTTATTTATTTTTTTCTGTGAGTCTCAAAAAGAAGACAAGAAGTTTGTCTTTGTTTCTTCTGTCAAAGCAGAAGCCTTCCTGTTTGGGCATCTGATTACACATAAAAGAAAAAGTCAGTATCTAAGCTGTCATTTGTATGGAATTATATGAGGTAGAACCACCATTTTTATGGTGCGTTCAGTGACCACGCTGAACATTGGGATGAAGAGAGTGAACTCCTTGGTGTAAACGGCCCTGAACTTCCTCCAGAAACAGTAAAAACTTCATTGTGTTCAATGAAATAAAGTCAGACCTCAGTGGAAGCAGGGGCAGAGGAATTTAGTTCAGCATAGGATCTGAGAAATACTGTTAGCTACAAACAGACTCACAGATTTGTCATCTTCCGTGCTGAACGGCAGGGAAACTTTCTTCCACCAGTTAAAGGAGCACTGCCTTCAAGAATCTAAGCTATTCCATTTCTTCCTTAGTTTTCTTTATTTTTTTAACTCCAGTTTATAAAAGCTGTTTCTTTTGAAGAATCTCCCCATCTTTATGCTTTGCTGCAGTTTACTTCCTAATTTGAGTCCTAAAAATCCCTTCCTTTGCTTATCAGACAGTTTGGAACTTAACCATTGGCTTATTGTATTGTTTCCAAGGAAATAACTTTGCAGCAGATCATGGCACATCTGGACTCCATTCGAAAAGACATGGTCATCCTGGAAAAAAGTGAATTTGCAAACTTGAGAGCAGAGAATGAGGTACTAACAAATCCCTTTATTTAAGCTGTCAGTACTTTAAAATATATTGTGATTTCCCCAGTGCAGCTTTTTTGTGGTACAGAATATTTGATGTCATCTTCTGTATTAACTCAAGGGTGATTCTTGTAGTCTTGTTGCTGTTAACCATTCAATCCAGGGAGAGCAGACAGGCATTTCTGTTAATTAAACTGGTGATTAAGATATGTTTTAGTTTTGCTGGACAGCATTTCGGTGTTTTTCTCCTGTCTTTAGTCTCAGAATACGAAACAATGATTTTGAGCAAAGTTCTGAGCAGATTGTATCTGACTGTTTAAATAGAGCACACCAGTTAAGGTATTTAGTTGGGAACACATTGCTCTGTGGGAAAAATGGCAGAACAGTAATCACAGCAATGCAGTGCTAACACTCACACAGCTGATTGTTTGGGCAGCAGTTTTCTGAAGTTATAAAATCTCTTTTCCTTCTCTGTTCCTAGAAAATGAAAATTGAACTAGATCAAGTTAAACAGCAGTTAATGGTAAGTAAACAGCAAGTAGGTATACACTCATCTCAGGGGAAAAATACGGTTGTTTTCATTATCTTTATTTGCTTTAAAGAACGAAACCAGTAAAATCCAAGCTGACAGCAAGCTAGACATAAACCTAGAAAGGAGCAGAGTGACAGATATGGTAAGCTGACCTGTGAAGATACTGTTATGAGTTTGGTGTCATCTTCCTTCGCTGCAGTTGTGATTTATCTTTTATCTGTAGTTTACAGATCAAGAGAGGAAATTGATGGAAGCAACTACAGAGTTTCATAAAAAAGTAAGGATTGAATTCACTTTACATTGAGCAGGATGCAGTTACAACCCAGATGTCATGTAAACACAACTTCTGTGAGAGTTAAAAGCTGTCTGCCTGCGATAGAAGCCCTGTGTGTTGCACATGTTGATGGGGTCTGTGTGTGGATCTCCCAAGCAGGTGACACACAAACCTCATCTCTCACTTCCAGAGAGCCTTTGTGCAGTCTGTTGTAGGTAGGTGTGTTCTGCCTCGCTGTCCGTTCTGCTGGTAAGCAGCGAGCTGGCTGGCCCTCGCAGAGACTGTCTGGGTGCCTGCAGCCAAGCAAGTTTCAGGGGCTGGGAGTCCTCAGTGCCTCCTTGAGGGCAGCCTGATGCTGCTGAGGGACATTGCCCATTTTCAGCATCAGCTTCCTTTTCTTGGATAAGGCTGGTGATTTCTTAGGCCTTTGTTTGGCAAGAATTTAGGGATGCCATGAAGACATAATAGAACGTCCTCCTTAGGAGGCACATGGTATATTGCAGGTAAAATTCAGATCGCACCTATTTTTCTCTTCTTCTGTCTTCATCTTTAATATACTTGCCTATAGTATTAAGTGTTGCTCTGTGACTTCTGAGATCATTTACTAATTACACAGTAATTAGTAATCTTTACCAATATGTTGGAAATTTGTTATTGCTCATAGCACGATATTCCTGTTTTGTTTTGCAAACTGGACAAAGCTTGAGAACATTGTCAAATGATAGGCTTTCTTTTAATGTTTCAGGATTCGAATACCAACAGCATTATTTCAGAGATCAGTAATAAAATTGACACTGAAATAGCTTCCTTAAAAACACTCATGGAATCAAATAAACTCGACACGATACGTTACTTGGCAGGTATGTGATGGGCACAAGGGTGAGTACCAGGGACTTAATTTGGACACGTAAAGTTCAAGGGTCATTCAACGTTACGTGCAAAATGAATTCAAAAATTCAGCAGAACAGCAGCAGATGACTGCAATTGGGGGTCATGTCTGATGTGTTGGCTTGTCATTTTGTTCAGTGGAAAGCCTGTTTAATTACATTTAGTTAAGACCCAATACAGGCATCTCTCCTGTAATACCATTTCTGACAGATGGGCAACAGCAGTAAAAATTACTGTAGTCTGCTGTGCTCTGTTATCCAGTTCGGTTCTTCAGAAGTATTCCTGATACGATGGTTCTGCAGGCTGCTGAATTTGAGCTCCCACCTCGCTGTGTAGGCAGTGCTACTGTGGAGGATACCACATCTGAAACAAGGCATTGCTTTCCATTCTGTTTGCAATTAATTTCCTGTATGCAGAACATGATACAATTTAACATTCATCTAATTACTGCTACTTTTGTTCTTTTAACAGCTTCGGTTTTCACTTGCTTAGCAATAGCACTGGGATTTTACAGGTTCTGGAAATAGTTCTAAACTGAATGACCCCATTAAACACAGGTGGAGAAAAGGCCAGCCAGGCTGCATCTGCCAAACCATCACATCCGTGCTGTAGGTCACCGTGCTACCTCCAGTTTTGATATTCTTGTTCTGATTATTGTGAACAGTGTTTTCTGACTGTGTAACACTAACAACTGAAGTAATATGAGGGAGAAGTTGGCGAATAATAGTAATATTTCAATATCTCCTATTGAATAATGTATATATTTCAAAAGACTGTGTATTCAATCACAAAGTGTTTCCTAATGGGCTTCAGAATCACGTTTGTTGTCTTCTAAAACATTGCCAGTGCTCTCATCTCTGTTCCAAATGGAAATACTGAACATTCAGCATGCCTGTGGAAATACCTGACTTCTGTTTCTAAATTAGTATTACTGATATGGGAGAACTGCAGCAGATTCCAAGAGATGTACTGTGATCCAGGCAGTCACCTTACGTATAGGAGCTGGGTGTTTGTTCCTCTCTTTTCAATGGGTTTCAAGCCTGATTCTTTGGTTATATGTTTTCATAAATATGTATGAAAACATCAACATATGTATATAAAATACACACTCCAAGGCCTTTTCTAAAGAATCCTTGCTTTTCTTGAAAAATGGTTTACATAAATTTAAAATCTTGTGTAGAACTAAAATGTTTCTACAGATTTATTTATTTTTAATATCCCTTAAAATTCTTGTAAGCCCAGAGGTCAACAGAAAGGGAGAACTTCATTTCTCCAAGGGGAAGTGCTGTTGTTCTGACTGACTGCAGACAGCCCTGGGACAGATAAGTGCTCTTAACTCCTCCCTTCAAGCAGTGCTGAGTACTCTCAATAAACCTTCATGTATTTTCTGGGTATGGGATCTGGTTGTGCCACAGAAGTGCTCCTTCAGAGCAGTCTGTGATGCTGTGGGCCTCTTTCAGCTTCAGGAGATGAGAGCCTGACTACAGCAAGGACTTCTCAGTCTAGCTGCAGAGTCAGGATGTGATGGGTGGATGCCTTCCAAAACCGAAGCAGTCGGATCGGGTACAAATGCCTGTGCTTTTCATTTGACTCCTTTTATTTTCAAAACATCTTCCTGGTTTAAGCTTTGTTCAGAATAAGCACTTTGTGGGCTACAGAGTTTATAGTTCTGGATAGCGGCAGGTTTTCAATTGCAGTTCTGTTCTGTTTTCAGTTGAACTTGCTGGTATCTTGCAAATTCTTGTATTCTGTGCATGAAGTTATGTATTTAATGTGTACATTTAAGAAAATAAAATGGATTTCTTACATTTGCTATCTGCAGCGCTTGAATACAGATGACTGGGTTGTACAAGTGTGGCTTTTATAATGAGCACAGCACTGTTAGTGAGCTGAGGCTGCTTTTTCTGTTGTGGATGTGTTAGTGGAATGGGTGTGGGGTGCCAGCATGAGGACCTGAGGCAACCCCTTGCTCCGTGTGCTGCACCGTCACACATCCATCCTCATACACACTGTAACCATTTCTGGAGTTCTCTGCAAGACACGGGTTGATCTTCGGCACCATTCCTACGTTGGAACAGCACCAAGAATGATGGACCAAATCTCATTCATGGCAGCTGCACACCACACTCACACACCTTGAAGTCTGTGATCCAATTCTGGATTTCTCCTTGTCTGGCACAGGTTTATGTTATTGCTTAGGATGTTCTCCATCTATTGCGTACGCACACAAAAACAGAGTTTTTCCCTAACTTTGAAACTTACCACAATTAAGCTTCTCTGGATAGCAAAGGAGAGGACACATCAAGATTCAAGCACCAGGAAATTCACCTTTATAACACAAGGATTTATAATTGGAATCAAAACAGCCAAAGTATTATTCATGAGAGCCATTCTGTGGCCTGCACAGATTGGCTGGAGATGAAAAGTCAGTTGCCTGGCATCCAGCTGCTATTTTGCAAGGACTTACCCCCTATGCTGTTCTTTGTGTCTGTACCCCACAGATCCTGGCTGAAGTAAGGGGCTTCCTATTTATTCTTTCTGTTTCAGGGCAGTGATACCAAGCTCCAGTAGGTGAGGATAGCTTTTTCGTAGCCTAGGGCCTATGACATCGCTGCAGGTGAATTTTGGAATGTTCCAATTTGCAAAGCTCTTGTTAAACTACCCCGGACATGAAGAGAAGCCCTCTTTTTTTTCTTTCTTGTCTGTTTGTTTTTGTTTTCCTTGCTGCAGTGATTTAGAAATATTTTCTGTCCCAGAGAACTGGGAAAGCAGTTCGATGAACCACAGCTCATCTGCAGAATTGGGCTCTACAAGTGCTTTGCACTGGACATTGCCATTCTGCGCCCTCTGCCTGCCAGCCCTGTGTCTGAGGCTCCTTCCTCAGCGCAGCCTCACAAACACTCCTCCATGCCTGCAGGGTGGATTCTTCTTCACTTTCTTTTTCTCTTTGCAGGAAATCGAGATGGGTTCGGGTTCCTGAAACAAAGGACATCATTACAGCTATTAAGCAGCAATCACTGAAATCTGCTGCACCATAAGACAGGCTTTAAAAATATGATGATGTGGCTGGGAAAGGTCTGAAAAGCCAGCTCTCCTGGGCTTCAAACTTAACGTGTGAACTAGTGATCTACTGTCAGATTTGATTAAATATGTGTATGTGTTTTCTGTTTTCTAAGTCAACCTATCTGCACCTGCTTTGCTGTCAGTGGGCTTGATAATTAAGATATGACACAAGACTAATTGTTGAATTCAACCACCGCACACAGCAGCATTGTATTACAGGCCTCCACCAAGTCTATTTCAAGTCTGAGGTAAAAGGGGGAAGAATGAACCCATTCTGAAGGAGAGTTCTGATGCAGAAGAGAGATCCTACAACATGTGCAGTAGCTGCTACCAGCTATGCCAGCTGGGGAATGAGGGGCAGCTCCTGAAGTCCCCAGTCCAGTCTGAACTGGGCACCAGCTACTCGCCAAGATGAACAGCCAGTCATCCAACCATTCCAACCATGGAAGCATTCAAGGACCACTCCACTCCCTTTTCTACAGAGAATCCATATTCTCTGCCAAGGACAGAGAAACTGATAACCTCTCAGATCAGGATGCAGCAAAGGCTGCTGCTTGCTTCACCGTGCCAAGCTGAAAACTGTTAAGGTACTCACTCAAGTACCACCCCACAGTCTTAGCGAGAACAGGCGCCCAAGCAGCAGGGCTGCCGTCCTTCCCACTAACCGGAGGCAGAGCCGCAGGGCTGCGGGTTCTCCCCCGGCTCTCCCTGAGGCGGCCGATCTCGGCGCGGCAGCCATCCAGCTGGCTCTCCAGCTTTTCCCTCCTGACTCGCTCGGATTCCAGCTGCGCCTCCAGCTCCCTCACGGCCCTGCCAAAAGCAAAGGGGACAAACAGCACTGAGCGCACACAGCCGTGCCCAGGCCGCTCCAAGCGCGTTTTAAGGCACAGAAATCAGAAAACAACGCGAATGTAGAGCCCTCCTGGCTCGGGCCCCTTTGTAAAAGCTCCACTGTCGGCTGCTTTCCGTACCATACAGCCAGCTGTGCTCGGCGCTTCTGACCGCGAGGTGGAGACGTCTCCCCGCACAGTGAGCCAGCGCCGGGCGGGACGAAACCCAGCTCGGCTCCCAGCTCCTCTGCACGCTTCCTAAAGTGATTGGGTAAGCACACGTGAGGAACGATCAGATGAGAGCCTGCATGACACATACTAAAAGGAAGCTGAAGCATTGGTTGACCCAGCTACACAGGTTCTCATCAGTCACAGTCACAGTGGCTATTAAATTAACTGAAATTCCTGGAACTGGTTAGCTGAGACTTAATTCTGATCTATCCCTATGTAACAGCAACTGAGTCATCTGGAAATGAGCTGGCTCTCCTCTGTGCCACAATGAATTAGCAAAGCTACAAAGGGAGGAGACATTTTCAAAATCTGCTAGAAATCCTTCCCATGTAGCAATTCCTGCAATGTTAGGGACAATAAACATGCTAAAATAATGGGGTTTTCCAGCATACAATGTAAGTATCTTGGAGTTGACACACAGGTCTCTGTAGGTACCCTGAGAAGCACTACTTCAGTTTCAGAAGTGGACCTAGGGATGCTCTCCGGCCTCCACTAATGGCACATCATTTGTGACATTGGTTGGAGGTGGCCCAAGCATGTAATGGACATGCTCATCTACAGTGACTGAGAACAGTGCATAGCCAAACGTTTGACAGGCAGAGGTAGAGTCAGGGATGTCTTCTTGTGCAGGCTGTCATCCTGCACAAGCACAAGAAGTATGGAGCTATCAATCATTTGTGTTGTACTGCAAAGTTGATCCTCGTGGCAGGAGTCCACAAATGGCCAAATGGCTGAAGTCCTTTTCTTTTTAGGCTGGCTAAATTCACTAAGTGGAAAAGACAGAATGGCCAAAGCAATATGAGTGTAAAGTAACCTTAAAGAAGGCTTTAAAACGGGACACATTATAAAGTTGACCTTACTTCTCAACCTCCTTTTCATGTTTTTTCATCTTCCTCTCCTCCTCAGTTATTCCTCCCAGCTGTCTGTAGTTGCTGTAGGCAATTTCCAGAAGTTGCTGAAGTTCTTGAATCCTGCGATAGGCCCTTACTGTAAGACAGGGTTCTCCAGGTAGGTGAAATGCATGGAAACAGCTGAAGACTTCATGCTGAAGTCCAGCAGTATGGGAAACAGACACAGAGCAGTAACCACAATGCTGAGCAGACACTGAGATACACCTGGCACAGAGATGCTGAGATAGAGACCCACACAGCACACTGCTCTCAGAAACAAAGAGCATTCCAGTGTGGTTTCACTGCAGGGATTGTAACAGTGTAACAGTTATGTTCTGACTGTCTTGTGCCATCCTTCCTAACCTTCCACAACTCAGTGTCACAGATAACCTACCAACAAACTCATTCTACAACAGGAAACAAATGTGGCAGTTGGCAGAAATTGTGCAACCAAAAATCCAACACCTTTGGACTGTTCAAACAAGGAGTGAAGTCAGACAATGCTTACTGCGTGCATCCCTTTTCTCTGCTTTATCCAGGATTAAGTCTTCTTTGCTGTCTGTACTCCCTTCCACACCATGTCTTTCAAAAAATTTTATGTTGCTTGCATCCAGTTCTTCATCACTAGAGTTACTGTCTCCAGTTCTTTGGGTCAAAAATTCCACAGCTGCTAGCTGGGCAAATCTGCACAGAGAACAGTTAACCTACATTGATCTGTAATCTACACATTGATCCTGTAATCTAGAAACACGCAGCCATGTCTCCCACATGAGATAAAAACTCTGAAACACTTCCTGTTCCCATTTAGAGGACAGAGTTTCAGGATTTGAGGAAGCACTGGTACACAAACTATGAACAGCAATCTCCTTTCCACAGTACTCTGCCTCACTGAAATCTTATTACGATGCCTCCCACTTCAGAAATACATTTTGCTTTGTAGGATTTCTTAACTGAATCTCATCAGCAACTACATTACTTTCATTAAATCAAAAATCAACCAGCCTTCTCTTGCTCTCATTTACTTTGTACAGCTGGAGCACACAGGCTCATAATTTCCCTTCTGCAGATCCGTTAGTTTGCATCTTTTCTCCCTGACCTTGCTCAAAAAAAAAAAAAAAAAAAAAAAAAAAAAAAGCAGAAGAAAATAAATTTGCAATTTTTTACAGCCTTTTACAGCTACAGTGTGGCTTTGCTGATCACTCAGAGCTGTAATTAGTTCTTGCTTCATCACCAAAAATCAGGGGTAATTACAACAAAGCTGACTAGATATTTAAATAGCAAAATAAAGGTTAAAAAAAGACAGAGCTACATGGCATGTACTGCTACCTCTTGGCTACATCCTTTGGAGTCTCTCCAGCATCATCTGTAATGTCACAGTCAGCTCCCATTTCAACCAACCACTGTAAGCAATGGATGTGCCCTTGTCCTGCAGCTGGGGGAAGGAAGGTGCGTGCAAGTCAGCCGTGCACAAACGCAGCATTTTAAACTTCCTACATCCCCCTTCTGCTATGGTTTAACATGCAAGATGCTGGGTTCACCAAGACTACAAAGGAGAGAGACTATTTCAGAGGATATATTTCAAGATGCTCAAGACATTTGGGTACACCCAATTTTAGAGATCATGTAGAGTGGGTTTGTGGCTTTCTCTGGTCCCTGAAATATATGTGCAACTCCGTCTGTACATGAGCTAAACTAAATGTTCTCAGTCCCGTGCATCAGCAGGGCTACTGCCCACACTGCATGGCCCCTAGTAATGATGTGTCACATATGGAAGATGCTCCTTGGCATTGCTGG